GATCTCTGTCCTTAATGTGCTGTACATTGAGATTTAATGCTATAACGAGTACTCAAACAGTATTTTTTCACTTTGTGTTTCTATGTGGGTGCAAACTGCTGAAATCTTAATGTATACTAAACTGATCTTCTGTATATATAGAAAATTGAAAATGAATCTTGATATGAATGGAAGGGGAGAGAGAGCGGGAAAGGGGAGGGTTGCGGGTGGGAGGGAAGTCATGGAGGGGAAGCCAATGTAGTCCATAAGCTGTACTTTGGAAATCTATATTCATTAAATAAAAGTTAAAAAAAATTTTCCATGAACATTTGTATGTCTCCTTGTATATTAGCTATTCTTTCTATATTTGTATTATCCAAAAAATTTTAACATATGTACCTTTACAATCTTTGTCCAAGATATTGACAAAAATGTTGACCAGGAAACAGCTCTATGGGAAACTAGCTGATAATTCTCTAGGTTGAAATGAATACACAGAGTTCAGCTAACTGTAAATCCCCCTAACTGCTAAAAGTTTCTTATGTGGTCTTTTCAATAAGGATATCACAAGGTACAAGATCGTCTCACTGTGTTACTTATTTTATGATGTATTTCATTTAAAATGCGATTTAGTAATTTTATAAATATTCTTTTCTTAGTGACTTATTTTTAGAGAACCAGCTAAGAGGTCCTGGTGACCATTATTTTCTTTAAGGAATGTCTATAAACTATCTTGTTGAAAACACATTTCTGAATTATGCTGGGAGTATCTGTTACATTTACAGATCCCTAGTTTCAGCAAGTCACTCTTTTTTAAAGATTTATTTATTTTATTTGAAAGGCAGAGTTACAGAGAGGCTGAGAGAGAGAGAGAGAGAGAGAGAGAGAGAGAGAGAGCGATCTTCCATCCACTAGTTCACTGCCCAGATGGCTGCAAAGGCCGGAGCTGCGCCAATCTGAAGCCAGGATCCAGGAGCTTCTTCCGGGTCTCCCACGTGGATACAGGGGCCCAAGCACTTGGGTCATCTTCTACTGCTTTCCCAGGACACAGCAGAGAGCTGGATTGGAAGTGGAGCAGCCTGGACTCAAACCAACACCCCTATGGGATGCTGGCACTGCAGGCGGTGGCTTTACTTGCTACATCACAGCGCGGGCTGTAGCAAATCACTCTTGTCCTGCCCTTTTTTAAGAAAACCAAGGCATTTGTCCATCTCTTATCTTCTGGAACTTGTCCTTTACACTATATGAAAAACTGAGAGTACAGAGTATCCCTCACTCAGAATGCTTGTGAACAGAGGTGTTTCATAGTTCAGATTGTTTTTTTAATTTTGGAATATTCCCATATACTGAGATATCTTGGAGTGGTGCCCAAATCTAAACATGAAATTTGTTTGTTTCTTATATGTCTTTTACACAGAGCCTGAAAGTAATTTTATGCAATTTATTTAGTGCATCTATGTTGTGACTGCAACTTATCACATGAGGTCAAGCGTGGAATTTTCCATGTATATTATCATGTCAGTGCTCAAAAAATTATGGGTTTTGGAGCATTTTGCCTCTTTAGCTTCTTTCAGTGACCTTAATTCTTCTGATCTTCAAAACTCTAAGGCAATGGACACATCTTTCCTAATTCCCCATCTACATTGAGCTTCAACTTGATTCTTAATCATGTTCTGTTTACACTTTCCTATTTGAATATCACTCCCATTGACAGTGAAGTTTAAGTGAATGGTTCTTCGAGCTATCACTTTGGATAAGACACTAAACAGGTCTAACTCATCCTCGTTTTTCTCTAAACAGCTAAATGTGTATAAATACAAATTTAAACAGCTACATGTGTATAAGTACACATTTAGTGGCCCTAAGCATTTACATTTACAAAGCTCTGACCTTTCTGACACTATTCTCAGGATTATGTCCTTATCTAGAATGTACAGTTGGTTTTATGTGTGTGTGTGTGTGTGTGTTTTTATTGTGTCATACCTAAGCAGAGGTATGTCATACCTAAGCACAATACTATTGTGCATGGGGACTAGGAAAGGGAGAATTCCCCTTTGGATGGGGTTTCAAATTACACATGCTTCTCTACAAATTGTGTGCTCTTGTACCTTCTGGAGTGAGCACTACTACTAGAAATGTGTCAAACCCCAGGGCCGGGCATCGTGGCACAGTACGTTAATCCTCTGCCTGTGGTGCCAGCATCCCATATGGGCACCTAGTCCTGGCTGCCCCTCTTCCAATCCAGCTCTCTGCTGTGGCCTGAGAAAGCAGTATAAGGTGGCCCAAGTGCTTGGGCCCTTGCACCCGCATGGGAAACTGGGAAGAAGCACCTGCCCTCCTGGCTTTAAAAAAAAAAAAAAAAGAAATGTGTCAAACCCCTTCTGGTATGTGTTGGGGCATAAGGAAGGTTGAGCATGATTGTTTTAGATACTCTCTTTCTCTATTGCCTAGAAACTAGGAGCATTCAATTTTGACAGTCTCTCATCACTTTAATTTTTAAGGATTTATTCAAAAGGCACAAAGAGTAAGTGAATAACAGAGAGAGAGAGAGCTAGAGAGAGAGAAAGAGAGCGAGCACTTCCATCCACTGGCTCATTCCCTAAATGGCCACAGCCAATGCTTGTCCAGGCCAAAGCCAGGAACTCCACCTGACTTCCCACGTGGGTAGCATGGACCCAACCACTTGGGCCATCTTCCATTGCCTTCCCAGGTGCGTCAGCAGGAAGCTGGATTGGAAACACAGCAGCCAGGACTTGAACTGAAATTCTGATATGAGATGCTGGTATCGCAAATGGTGGGTTAACCACCATTCCACAACACTCTCTCATCATTTAAAAAATGGACAAGAGGAACATATCTGTCTTTCAGTCCCTTAATTTTTTACATAGGCTTTTTGTAAAGTCTATAATAGTTGTGGGGCCATCAATGACACTTCTTTCCTTTATTTTTACAACCTTTAACATGACACACTTATTTTCTCCCAAGGTTCCTATCATCACTGTCTCACCAGGCAATTCTTCCTTCCTGTCCAGAATTATGACCAGAGTAGTAGCAATTCCTTGTTTGAATTAGTCTACATTTTGAGAAATGAAATTGTCATCAAGGCAACAATTTTAACTTTGCCATGTACTTACTTGAATATCTTCTATGTTTGCAGCTATGAGTTGAAATACAGAAGTGACATTATCAGTAGATAAAAGTATTCTTTTTTTCTTATACATAAATACTGTAGAACTTGTACTCTAACAAGTTCTGTGTATGGGTTTTTACCAATAAACCTGACTTTATGGTACTGCTGTCAATTTGCACTGATGATTGAGAATACAGACAGCACCACTGTAATATATCCCATCATCCTCACTCTCAGGAGGAAACAATACAAAGACATTCCAAAGCCATAGCATTCCGTGTCACCACTCCCAATTCAAAAGCTTCACAAAATCCATTTCGAATGGCTTATGTGTCAGTGTGATATCCAAAGGAGAGAAGAAGAAGGCAGACACTTGCAAATTTAACTTCAGGAAAGCACTTTCACACCATCACCTCAACGTGATATTTTAAAAATTGCTTTAAAAAAAAAAACACCAGAATTGTCTTGCTTCCTTTTGTCCTTGTGCTCAAAAGATCCTTCCTACTGTTTGTGTTTTGGGTTGCCCTTTAGGGAGTAGAAAGGAATTGGTCCTTATTATGCGAATAAAAATATAGATGTGACTTCGTGCTCTACAGATCAAGCATGAGACTGACAGCAAGAATAGTACATTGAGGATGGTATACTGCATGACATATTTTGAATCCAGATAATTTTGAAAGAAAGCATCAGACAATAAATAAAGGTAAGAATGAGTCAGGAATGAAGAAGTTACAAGAGAATTCTGCTGTGAGAATGGGTCACTCAAAGAATTCCAAGAGTGGGTGAGCAGAGAAATATTACTACTAGATATAGAAAGGTAATTGGGGCTGGCCCCAGGCCCCGGCCCACCTTTGCCACTCTGTCCCTCCACGCCCAGCCCTCCGGCAGGCCCGGCCTGGACCCACGCCCTTGCCCTCCCACCCATGGGACCCTGCAGGGACTCCCAGGCAGAGTCGCCCTCCGAGTGCCCCAAGAGGAGGAAGAAGAGGTACCTGTGGCATGACAAGCCCCCCTACACCTACTTGGCCATGATCGCCTTGGTTATCCAGGCTGCACCCGCTCGCCGGCCGAAGCTGGCCCAGATCATCCACCAAGTGCAGGCCGTGTTCCCCTTCTTCAGGGACAACTACGAGGGCTGGAAGGACTCCATCCACCATAACCTTTCCTCCAACCCGTGCTTCTGTAAGGTGCCCAAGGACCCTGCAAAGCCCCAGGCCAAGGGCAACTTCTGGGCAGTCAATGTGAGCCTGATCCCGGCCAACGTGTTGCGGCTGCAGAACATGGCCCTGTGCCGGTGCTGGCAGAACAGGGGTGCACACGGAACCTTTACCAAGGACCTGGGCCCCTATGTGCTTCACGGCTGGCCCTACCGGCCGCCCAGCCCACCGCCACCAGCCAGGGAAGGCTTCAGCATCAAGCCCCTGCTGGGGAACCCCGAGGAGGGGCTGCCCTGGCCGCAGCAGCCCAGAAGGGCTGGACAGGGCAGCCTGACTCCTGAGGGGCAGTGAGGGGGAGGCAGTGCTCACCCCACCCCTGCCCTCCTCTGAGAGGTCCCTGTGGCCCCACCAGCCCCTCCCCAAGCCCACAAGAGTGGAGGGGGTGGTCTCCCAGGGCACAGATATCCACCCCTCTCCCCTCACTACCCCAGAGCCCAGGCCCTGGCCTGTCCACTTACTGCCTAGTACCCCAGATCCCATGGGGCTGCCCACGGGGGGACACAGGGCCTCACTGTGGGGGCAGCTGTCCACCTCCTACCTGCCCATTTACACTCTCAACGTGGTCATGCACTTGGGCTCATTGCCACCCACCTCCTGTCCCCACTGCCCACCCTCGACCAGCCCAGCTTACTGGGGTGTGGCTCTTGAATCCCAGGGGCCCCCGGGGCTGCTCTGGGACCTGGACGCTCTCTTCCAGGGGGTACCACGCAACAAGAGCATCTACGACGTGTGGGTCGGCCGCCCTCGGGACCTGGCTGGTACTGCCCCGGGCTGGCTTCTGTCCTGGTACAGCTTGTGAGGCTCCTGGGGGCAGGGGCTGCCTCTCCTGCCTGCCCGCCCCTACCAGCTCCAGGGCCCAGAACCAAAGCTATGAGAGTGTCTGCCGCCACAGCAGCCTGGAGACAGGCGGCACCGACCTTGCTGAGCCAATCCAGCGTGTTTATTAGGCTGCACCTCAAAGGGCTGTACCCCCAGCTGGGCACACCCTGGCGGCTGGTCAGGCCTGCCTCTTCCTCCCTCGCACCCAGGGCAAGGCTGGGAGGGCAGGGCTCACCTCTGCAGCCATTCCTGGTCCCATCTTCCCCCACCCCTGCCCAACCCAACCATCCATCACTGCCCACACTGGCCTCGGGTTGGGGGAGGGAGAATCCAGTGCTGGACCCTGTCTAGGAAGGGGAGCATCTTTTTGGGGACAGCGGGTAGGGAATAAACACTGGATCCTCCGTGGTGGGGGCAGGGGACAGTAAAGGAATTTTACAGCAGAAAGAAAGAAAGAAAGAAAGAAAGAAAGAAAGAAAGAAAGAAAGAAAGAAAGAAAGAAAGAAAGAAAGAAAGAAAGAAATTGGGAGTAGCTCTGGTGTAGATTATACTCAAAGATAAACAGAAGGCCACAAAGGTTTCATCTAAAACCAAGTAGAGGGGGCGGGCACTTGGCCTAGCAGTTAAGATACCAGTTAAAACATCCACATCCTTTATTGTAGTACCTGGGTTAGATGCTTGCCTCCACACCTTAGTCTAGCTTCCTGCCAATGCAGACCCTGGCAGCCAGCAGTGTTGGCTCACATAATTCTTGTCATCCATGTGAGAGACTTAGATTGAGTTCCCAGCTCCCAGCTTTAGCATTAGCCTGGAACCACTGCTGATATTTGGGGAATGAAACAGTGGATGAGAATTCTTTTTGTCTCTCTGCTTCTCAAATAAATAAATGAATAAATAGTTTTTTTTTTTAAATCAAAGTTTAGTCAGTGGGCTCTATCTAGGGTTTGGTAGCACCATATACAGGAACTAGTGTAACACAATCAACTGTTTAATTCCACTAATAAATATTTATTGAATACCAAGTATTGTCAGGGAATACACAGATTTATAGCAAGTGGCTAAGATAGAAAAGATAGTCTTGCCACTCATTGAGGTTATGGTCTAGTGAAATCGAGTAAAAACAAAAGCAAAAATAAAAATCCTAGGCTGGGAAGGGCTAGGATAGGTCAGCCTTAACAGAAATAGACAGACTCAGGAAAAGTGATCCAGGGAAGAACAGATTCTAACATTATACCATGTACATGTGATTTTCTAACTGCTATATTTTATATTCCAAAATCTCTCACAGAGTAGAAATCTCTGACATTTTCAATGACTGTGTGCTATCTATTGAGAAAGGAAGCCAAGAAGAAAATAGTTAAGGGTTACAATCTTAAAGTCATAGCCCAAAGAAACGGATGACCTTTTAAGGGTAGTGAAGTGATACAAGAAACAACCAGTAGAAAAAGTCAGGAGAATCATTTGAAAGTTACTTGCTTTTAAGCACTTTTAAAAAATTGTCAGAGGAGAAACCAAATAGCTGAACTAGTAATTGGTTCTATGTCCCAGAAAGGTTATTGATAGCTTTGTGTAAGTGTAAAGTACTTGTAGATAGTTCTAAAGTCTGTAAGCATAAAGTTTTATATGTCCAGTGTTGAGATCAGGTAAAGACAGGAAAAGATTACAGGAAGCAGAAAAATACACTCTGTGCTTAAGTCCACTTCTCCCCAAGTATCCTAGTCAGTGCTCCCCTTGTCAATCAATTGACTGTGCTTGCATCTAACCTTTGATTATTCCTGACAAGGATAAAGCATGTCCTACAAAAGGAAGCCTTTTCTGGCAGTGCTGTTTCAAAGCAGAAAAGTAAATGTTTAGATTTGTTTTCATCTTCTCAAAATGTGTGTGTGTGTGTGTGTGTGTGTGTGGTGGTGGTGGAGGAGAGAGAGTGAAAAGCAACTTCAGAAGAGAAAATCTGAGATTCAATATGCAGTATGTCAGTATCATTGGATTTAGCATGTAGGTTCCAAAACTCCAAGAACCATGCTTTCTGAGGCAAATTGCTTCAGACTGGGTTCGGCATGTGAGCATTTAATAAACATTTCTTGATGGGAATAATTCAAAGGATATATAACAAAAGAGCAAATATGTGAGTTGAACCAGCCCTCCTTTTATTAATGAATACAAGTTAAAGCATTTAGAGGGGGCTGGACTAAATGATCTCAGAGGACCCTTTCATCTCTAAAGTGCTTTGACTGTAACTAGTTTCATTCAAAGAATTAAAATGGCTAGCTGCATACATGTAAGTAGCATGCCAACAAAGTATTCTATTTTTGTCCTGGAAGTAAACTTACGAATAGACAAATAAAAATGGAGTAAGACCCTAATGAATTACATGCTAAGTCTTTGCCAACACATAATATAATTGTACATTTGTCAGAGTTAAGGAGTGACTTGAGATTCCCTTTTCACCTAGAATAGAATGACTTCAATCTCTTCCAAAGGAATATAGAAAACTGATCTTGAAGGTATAACACCCACTTACAATTGATTCAAACAATACCTCCACGCGAAGAGATGCCTCCTCGGGAAAAAGGAATCTGCCAAGTTTCTCAGCAGAGTCTTAAGTTACCAGCTCCAGTAATTACTGGATTTTACTCCAAGATCCTGCAATGGCAACTTACTGGGCAAAGTGATGGCTAATATTGACATTCCTTCAGAGTAAAATAAAAATAAACCTAGAAATGTAGATGAAATCCTTTAAAGAAGCAATTAAAACATCAACAGTTGTTAAACTGCCAGATCAAATAACTCTGAATATCAAACAGAATTTTTTTTAATGTTATAGCTTTAGAGGAAAAGGAACTCTGTCTTTGCCCCAACATGCAATATTTAAAATTGGGAGCAGCTTGTTGTTTCATTACAGACTGTTCCCCATGGTTCAGCATGTGGCTTTGTCTCCAGCAGGAATGCATCAGGGAAGGGGTCAAATAGAACAAAAGCAAGTGAGGAAGACAGAAAATAAATAGTCAAACCCTACACCATCTCTTTGGAACCAGCGTGTTGCTATGTGTTCCAGAGAGAAGCTATAAAAGCTCCATAGAGCATTGTCATTGAGGGAGCCCCCAAAGCTCCATGTCAGAATGTTCACAAAATTGTTTTGGCCAGATCCTGCTTCAAGGTAGAAATATGGAAAAAGAAGGGCTGTGGCCCATGAAATGTGGGAAGGTATTACTCATGAAATGGGGAGAAGAGCATATGTAACCCAACAGACAACTCATACGTGAGTTCTCAGTTCTCTATTTGTGAAATCTCAACAAACACATGCTAGATGAAGGCATAATTTTACAGCTTGTTAATGCCCTGGTCAGATAAAAAGCAAGATTCCCCTATGAGATCTTATCTGACCTCATTTAACATGAGTAGCTTCATCAGCTACTAAGTGCTATTATTATTGGATGAATAGGAAACCATTTCTGGTTTCCAAAAGCAATTCAACTAGGTGAGAGAGGCCATACAGAAAGAAGTTGGGTATAATACTGTGTGAATAAAAATAAGTAAAAATGGTGCTGAGGTATGAAGGAAAGCTTCTCACTGTCTTTCTGTCCCCTGGCATCCTATGCATTAGCTGCACTTTCCACTTGTCTTCTTTCATCACTTACTGTGCTGGACTCCACCTTAAGTAATCACGTACCCTCACACACATCCATACTTCCCTTTTAAGTTGTCCTTACTTCCATTTTCCCTTGCCCACTTACTTCAGGATAACCTTTCTCTGTCTCTTTGTTCTACTTGTGAACCCCATAATGGCCATAATCCTGACTGATAGTTACAATAGCACTGTTAATGAGATACCTGTATAAAGGAAAAGGAAAACCATCCTTTCTGAAGTGAAATGAGACATAAAACGCATGCCATCTACTTCTAATGTCTATTCAAAGTACCCAAAAGTGTTCTTCAGAAAGAGTCTCCGAAAGCCCCCATCCATCTTCTCAACCTGTAATTAAGTCCACTATTCTCATGCTTTAGCATTCAAAGTGACATTTCTTATTCAATTATATTTTTGCTTTAATTACCAGTACCAAGGAAGCATTTATTAACTGCACGTACAGCATTTCAGTCCTATCACAGGCTGTAGGATAACCTGGAAACTTTATAACCACAATTATATAATTCTACAGGAAAATATGCACATGCCAAACAATCAACCTAGAACTGATCTTTTGGAGTAAAGCTATCCCATAAACTGAAAGTGTCTATGAGTCTGTCCATGGAATTCTTTATAGTACTTAGCGAATTGGGCCTAGCACAGGTCTTTCTTTTTTTCTTTCTTTCTTTCATCATTTATTTATTTGAAATTCAGAGTCAGAGAGAGAGAGAGAGAGAGAGAATCTTTCATCTTCTGTTTTCAATCCTCAAATGGTCACAATGGCCAGGGCAGAGCCAGTCTGAAGCCAGGAGCCAGGAGCTTCTTCCGAGTCTCCCACATGGATGGTCAGGGCCTAGGCACTTGGTCCATCTTCTGCTGCTTTCCCAGGCACATTAGTAGGGAGCTGAATGGGAAGTGAAGCAGCCAGGACTCAAACCAGTACCCATATGGGATGCCGATGTTGCAGGTGGCAGTTTTACTTGCTATGCCACAATGCTGGCCCCACAAAGGTGTTTCTAAACTAACTGCTAAGTATATCTCATTTTCCGCTTGACTACCAATAGTGAAAAACATTTCAAACTTGAAACAACTTATGTTCCTAAATATAATGATATCACAGCATCTTACCATTGTAGGCCCACCTCATTTACAGGCTGCAAAGTATAGTATCATAGTACAAGCAGACAGAGTGGAAACGGGGTGACTAGGAAACTTCTTATTTCTTAGTCTTGCTAAAGTGATTTCTCCAGGCCCCAAGATTTTCACTTGTAAGGCCATTCACTAATGGAACTGGAACTCCAGTGAATGTTCACTTCACCACACCACAGTGATTGACCAAAATAACTTTTATATGA